GGGTTGCGTTCTATCCTGTGCAAAAGTATCTGTATCGTACTCGTATTAATTGCAATTATGCATGACAAATCTTGTCCTTAAGGTAAAACACCATGACAAATTCCGGTTCTCATGCTGAGGAAAGTTGATGTTGTATATGAACCATTTATACGAGTAGTACAATCCTTTTGCAATTCATACTTTCCACCGGCCGCCGATTTGTTGCCCCCAACTATTGCGTCGTAGTACGCGAAGTGCTTCAGCCGCTCCAGAAACGACGGCGAACTTGTTGCGCCCTGTGTTAGTGATTCGTCTTGCTGCCCGGCGCCAGGAGGACAACTGTGCGCACCAGAAGCTCCTCCTGCCTCGTACCTCCTTTCGACGCCTCCGGGGCCCGGCGAGCTACTGCTACCGCTGCTGGAGGAATTACTGGCTTTGCTGCTAGTAGCCGAAGAGGACGATGAAACTAACTCAGCGACCACCTTGCCCTGCACGACAGGGATCAAAGTCGGCGAAGCGACACCTTTCTCAGAGGAGAAGAAAGTAGTGGCCGCGGAGGTAAGAGTCAAGACCCGATTAAAATATGTCGTGGTGGCTCCTGTTGCTCCACCGTCTGTTGAAGATGAAACGGGGGCCGCACCTCCGGAGGAAGTTGTGGCTGACGCTGTTCGATTTTTCGTGGTGTTGTTGTTCCCACGGTCGTTGCTGCTGCTTCCGTTGCTCTGCTCTTGCTCGACAACCTGAGAGTGAAGAGACGCCGCTCGTGTAGTTGCTGCAGCACCTCCCGGCGCAACTGCTCCTACAAAAGTAGTACTCGTAGAACTATTATTTCCTTCAGCACTTCGACTTCTTCCAAAGTTTGAAGACCCGATGCGCTCTTCCGCGGTTCGCCGACCTACAGACGGAGCGCCGCTGGCGATCTGATGACGTGGTTGTGCTACTTCGTAAGATTTATTGATTTCCGGAGCTGCTCCTCTCGGTGCAGTCGTGGTCTCCTCGTCAGCGGTTGCACTTCTTGCAACTACAACCGACCTTGGTGCAGGATCAGGGGCTGCCGCTGCCTTCTTAGGCGTTTCAGCTTTCTTCGACGTGGTCCCTGCTCTTCTTGTACTACTAGTAGAAGCAGAGGACGGGGGCTGCTCCTGCTCTGCGTCGTTCCGATAATTTTTCCCCGCGATCACTTCTTCTACTTCTGCTTCTTCTGCTCGCAGCTGCTCGTCTAAGACAAGGCTGCTCTGGTCTAATTTTTGCTCCAGCTCTTCCACCACGTGGTGCGAAACTGTGTCCTTCGAAGAGCTCGAGTTCTTCACGGAGATGATTTCCAGTCCCTCCTTCGTTCCTTTGTATTTTATCGTGCTCTGCAGCGGGAGCTGGCGCTGGCTCAAGGTGCTAAGCTTGTCCTCGCCGGACGATGAACTGGAGGTCGGGCTGTTGTAGTGGTTACAATGTTCACAGCTGATCTTTCGCATCTATTGAGGACAAAAAACCCGTCAACATGGTGGTCAAAGCTGCACACCATTCAAGATGTTGCTCTTCACGCAAATAAAAAAAAACTGACGAAAATAAAGTAACAAATGCACATCTTCATCGACAGCATTCTACTAACCTGCTCCGCCAATACACCGGCGAAGACGTCGGTTCTGGCGACTCCCTTGCAGCGACGCCTGTTACGTTGTAGAAGGTGAGACTCCGTTCAGACGGTTTGTTGAAATCGTAGTCCTCGACGTCGTCCGCGTCTTTATTATCGTACTTACTTCTGCTTCCACGCCTACTTGCAGACGACGAAGCCTTTTTTCCCGTGCCCGGTGCACTGCTAGAATTTATCCTACCAGCAGTACTTGCAACTACTGCAGAAGCGCTTTTGTTCAAACTGCCCAAAACCTGCCGAATCGGCGGCGCGCCTCCGATATTAATCGAGGTCGCACTGGCAGAAGACGCACTCGTGTAGTTGTTGTTCCCGGCGGCGTTACTTCGCAAGTATTCGGCAGCGTTCGCGTCGCTTTGGTTGATCTCGTAAATACGCTCGAAATGCGAAGCCAACGCTCGCACGCCCGGGCTGGAGGGATTTGTGACGTCGCTGTTGTCTTCCAGGAGTGCCTCGTTATCGTCTTGGAAGGATCTCAGTCGGTAGACTTCGTCCTGCTCCGCGAAGTTGCTCGGTACAAAGCGTTGGTCCAAGTATGGCGAAGGGGTGATAGAAGTGGTATTGTCGTCGTCGACGGGAGATTTCGAGCCGATGTAGAAATGCTGACTCGAAGTCGAAGAACCAGCACCGGCTTCTTGATGCTGATTGTCCGCAAGGTCGACGATGCGACTGGCGTTCTGGGCCGTTGTGCGAGGGTCAGCGAGACTGGTATTGCTTCGGACAGTTATTCCAATAGCAGACAAATCTACTTGTTCCTGCTCTCCTCGGTGCTCTGCTTGCGTTTGGCGAGTGCGGCGACGGTCTGATATTATCGTTTGATGTTAGAAGTTGACGAGAGAAGGAAAAGAACTGACACGACTCTACATCTAGTACATACAGCAACACCATTACCCGACATCGGTTCCGTTTTTGTCATCAGAATTCAGAAAGCAACCTCTAGTACCTCCTGGAGTTATTTTTTCAAATGCAGAAAATAAAATACTGTCGGCACTGGTGGATTTTTCTCCCTTTAGTTCCGATTGTCTGCCGGCTTTAGAGGACGATGATCCTTTGTTGCGGTTTTTTCCGCCGGAATTGTACTTTCCACCGCCCTTGGATTTGCTAGAAGTTGCTGAGTTCGAATACATTGAAAAGAATCAAGTACAACAAGTTGTCACTAGCTGCTCTTCTCAGTCTCTAGTGGAGTTTCATATACTTACTTCGTCCGAATAAATCTCTTGTTCATCCCGAAAGTTTTCTCGAAACTCAAGTTCTTCGGAATAGAGAAGCGCCAGATTAATATAACCGGCACTGGCCGCGACCGCGAGCAAGATCTTCACATGGGAGAATCCTCGCACGTTTCACCACGTCGTCCGCAACTCAAGGCTTTTGAGAGAGGACGAGAGCACGCATGTTATCTTCTGTCGCCGGAGTCTAGTCTCATCTGAGTGACAGACTTCTTCTTCTCGTCCTAGTCGCATGGTAGCACTCAACACCAGGCGTCCGCCCTCCCAACCCGAACCCTCTCTCCTTTTCATCAACGCAAATAAACTGTGATGATGTCTGTCATAGCATCTTCACGACTAGCCCAACAAGTGGAACCCGTAGGTATCCCACTGCCTGGCACTCCAGGTCGGAGACAGAAATAAAAACGCCGCGTCGCCAAAGGAGTGACGGATTATTGAAAGAAAAAACTGTGTTAGTGTAGGCATTTCAGAAAGTGCGATATTTTTTAATAGCGAAAGTTCAAGACTTTTTTAAAAGCAGGCAAGTCCGGTTTTCTTAATGCTGCCTGTGTTGTGGTGCTTGGAATACAAGTAGCTAACGGCTGCTTCGGTAATAATTGTCTTTAGCTAGTTAAGGGGGCAGGGCTCATGTTTCTACTTCGAAACCCGCTGGGCATCGTCGTAGTACTCCTGCATGTCGGTACTTGTTGCGTTTTCATTTTGAGAAGAGAAAAGTCCGAAGAGTTGAAGGAAGAAAAGATAATTTTATGAGTGTAAGCGCAAAGCCAACTCTTCAGGTCGCGTTGAAATGGAGGCACTTTCTCGACCCCCCCCCGACCACCCCCCCAGCGCGAGAATGAAAATGCTACACTCGCAATTTTCTTTTTCCTAATCCCCACCTATAAAAAGAAAAAAGAATCAGTGTAAATGGCCATCTTGGAAAAGAGATCCGAACGAGTGTAGTGCAATTTCTGGAGGTCCTTTTGACCCCCCCAAGGAGAAGAGTTTCTCTGCTACACTCGTCATTTTCCCTTTTCCGGGATGTTGCCTACACTTTCACTTTTCTGTTTTCCCTGCCCGAATTGCAGTCAACGCCGTTCGCGCAAGGGTTCTGGAACTTTCGGCCTCCTTATACTTTCAGCGTTCGGACTTTTGGAGTCCTGCCTCCTTAACTATTCACATATACCGAAGCAGCCGTAGCTAGTTTTGACTACATAAACTCACCTTGTAAACGTCAACACATACCAGGTCGCTAATTGCGCCGCAGATTGAGAATTTTTTAGTTTTGCATATCAAAAAAAGTAGTGATTTTTCCAACACCTACACTAACACAGTTTTTTCTTTCAATACGGATCGGACGAGGTGTACTAAAATACAATTGTGCATTTGTTGCATGGCGGTAATTTTACAATTTTTTTTACAACGTCGGCCAACAAGTGAGAACGACGTTGCGTGATGCGTATGCAATGTTTTCGGGATAGTACTCATGTTCTCGTGGGTGTCCTCGAGGCGATGAAGGTCAATCCAGCTTCTTCTTGACTCTGTCTCTGATTTTTACAGTGGTTATTTTATACTGATTGAGCAGGAGGAGAACTTGTCAACGGGATAAAGCGGACGTACAGAGGGGAATGAGTCGACAAGTTGTAGAAGTGCTTGCAGATAAAGAACTTTATCTGGTTTCATATTTTTCGTCGTGTGAGGATACGATACGTGGAAGCACCTGGGCGGCAACTACAAACTGCAGCTATTTACCTAGCAGCAAGATGATGATGCGGAAAATAAATATTGATTTTTTGCCAAGCAGAAGACTGAATTTCACCTCCCGCCCCGTAATATGCCAATTTGTTGCAAGTAGCAATAAATCTTCAACCAGTCATCCAATGTATATTCAATCATTAACGAACCTAAAGCAACTTACTTGGTCTTCATCTTCAAAGTAGCTATAAGAGAAACAACAGCAGTGGAGTAAGAACGCTGCCCGTGTGACTCAGACTCACTGCATGTTTTTTGTAAAGAAAAAAGCATATTAATCATCTGAGCCGACATGATATACAACACTGAGCAAGTGCATAAAAAATTTGCAAGAGGGGCTACAAGCTTCCTACAAATACAAGGCGCGCTTTGTGGGCTCACGACCACCGTCCGACGTTCCGAGCGGTGCAGTGCCGCGACTATGCACACGCACAGCCGTCGTTTTCGTGTTCGTGCATGCCGCGTTGGTCTTGCCTGCCTCCGTAGGGGTTCTGATCCTGGGCCGTCAGCTTAATTCCGCCATCGTAGTTGTTCATGAGGTACATGTTGTTCAGATTCTGATTAGCGGTCACTTGTCCTGCTCCTCCCATCGGCCCCGCTGGCCCAGGCTCATGGAGTGGCGCGACGGCGTTCATGTAGACTATGCTGGCGGTTTGGATGAAGGTGTCATCGACCTATATTTATTGAGCATCAGAAGTAGAGGGTAAATTAATTTGTCATGGTCATGCTAAGCAGGTGGGCAACATCCAGTTTTTACAGTCTGACACATGCAACGTAGCGAGCACTGTTGCTAGTTTCGAGTCAGAACTTAGCTGCAGGCTGCACAAGTGTTCATCCTCTCTACAGTTTTATTTTTACGTTATCCCCCGTGACGGCCGAGGTTTCCACAAACTGCAAGTTTTCCCGCTGCGCGAAATCGTAGCCCTCCTGGTAGGACACTTGCCGCCTGTCTGCCAAATCGCTCTTGTTCCCGACCAGTGTGATTGTCAAATTTGCGTCCGCGTGCTCTCGGGCCTCTCGCAGCCAGGACACCACGTGTTGGAAGGAACTGCGGCTGTGGAGGTGGTGGAATTAAGTGAAATGATCAGTAAAAAAAATTGCACAACAGCATACACAAAAGGAGGCAAACATGATGTGCATCTTCATATGATCATGCAATGAAAGGGCCATCATTCAAGATGAAAATGAAATTGATAGTAAATTGTGCCAACTCTCACTTTGAATAAGTACTTTGTTATGTCGTAGACCAGCAATGCTGCTGCCGATCCTCGGTAGTAGCTCCTCACGATGCTTCGAAACCGGTCTTGCCCCGCTGTGTCCCAACATTGAAGCTTGATGTCCTTGCCTTCTATCTGGATCGCGCGGGACCCAAACTCGACGCCAACGGTAACCTCGTGGTGGGTTCGATACCTAGTACAGTATCAGTAGACCTCCACAGCGTTGTGGTGGTGTTTTCTTTCTTTGATCTCACTCTCACTTTCAGTTTCACAGAAGCGAAACGAGCACAGAGAGACAAAAAAATCGACGAGAATGGAATTGTGCAGCGACAGAAGTAGTTACGTACCTCCTATCTGTGAATTGCAGGAGCAAACAGGTCTTCCCGACCCCTTCGTCACCGACGATGATGAATTTGAACAAATATTGGCAGTTTTTGTTATTCCCGGCGTCAAATGCTTGGTTCGTAATCGTTGCTGCATTTTGGTTCGGAAACCCGCTGGTGCTGCTCATGGCTCCGCCCTGCTGGTAGTTGAAGCCCGGACTTGGGCCGCCTCCGGCGTTCGGAAACATCTTCGCGGCTTATCGGATTTTGATTCCGGTGTGCTGTAACTGCGACGTGCAAAACCCGATGGATTGTAGTTTCGGTGCGAGGACGATGCCGACGCGTTTTATTCTAGTCGTCCTGTAGTTGTACAGCAATTTTATTTCCTCGATGAGATGAAAAGGAAAACGCGAAAAGTTGTTGAGTCACTTCTACGACCAACAGCTGCGCGGTCGTCACACGGGAGCTGTTTCCACTCGAGTCGGGGAAAGTGCGCTTTATGCAGCGCGGTCAAGTCGTGAAGCAGTTAGCGCTTGGAAAATTCAGCAGCAACTTGCGAGCGATTTTTTCCTTTGACGTTGACAATGTGGCGACTTGGTTTTTGCGTTTCCGAAGCGGTTGTCTTCGGATACGCGGCGAAGAGGTACTTAAAACACCACGGCAGAATTTGCGAAAGAGTCGTGATCTGCTCCGCTAGAAGAACTTTCCCCGGTAATGTCGTGGCGCAGTCGATCACGTCTGTTAGTTGAGACTGAGAAACCAGGGAGGTGGTGCACAGGTCGTGCTTTATTCGAAAGAATTCCTTCTTGCCAGCACAGTGTGCATGTTAATCGTTCTCATGTTTCTTGCTCATCGGCCTAAACAGTGCCTGCTCTGCAGGCGTGGTATCACTCTTCATTCATCTCAGATGAAAGTGGGTACTGGTGGTCCTACGACATTATCCTTCTCTCACCTATTTTTTTCTAGTCGCCACTCTGGAGCGTAGTTGTATGTCCACTCAGAAAGCTACGGACAGGAACGCGATGCAAATGCTGGTACACAAATGTCGGGATGTCCTTGTGTCTACCACGGAGTCAAGAGAAGATGAAGATAGTTACAGCATCCTTGCATTTCCTCCGGTTCATTTACGGCGCATTTTACAGGTTTTCTGTCAATCCAAAAGTTTGTAAAGGTTTTTCAAGCGTTCAATGTGAATAAACAATAAATTATAACTCCTATTGCTGAGCGGGGGCAGTTAAAATTTTGCGCCGGGAAAGAAAACCGCCCACGTCGCAAGTTTTTTGGCAATTTTGAAACTTTCGAAAGCTGTCGCGATTTGCGAAATCGCCCACCGCCCAACGGCCAACGGCAACCGGCCAAATCGCAAACGGCCAACGGCCAACGGCCAACGGCCAA